TCAGTGTCAAGTTGTGTATGCAAATAGCTCTTAACCCTCTCTGTGCTCTTCCCAAACCACTCTCTGATGGGATTGTTGGCAGTCAGACCCTTGAGCCTCCATGCAGAGTATGGGGGAGATGAGTTCATTTTATCCAACAGGATTTTCTGTGGGCTGCATCTCCTCAGAAGAGAGTCAGTAGCTGTTTCAGATGCTGTGTGTTCTGTCTGTCTTCTGCTGACTGTGGTTGCTTTGCTCCTTGCTTGCACAAGTCAGCTGAAGTGAACTAGACTGCAAATATCCCCAAACCTGCCCCAGAGTCCTGATCTCTCTCTTGGTCTTGCAGCCCTTTCACTGTCAGTCCAGCCAGGGGAATCCTCGACATTGGTGAAGCCATGCAAGTGACAGTGGAATATCACCCAATGGAGACCGGGCATCATTCCACATCCCTGGCAGTGCACTGCGACATAGTTGGTGAGTGCTGGGCACTGCACGGTGCACTCACCCTGCATCCTTCAAAATAGCAGAACCCTTTCTAAGCAGAATAATGTTAGACTTGCTCTGCAAACTACTTGTAGAACTGTTCATTTCAAGCCTCCGTGTGTTTCAGTGCTAAGAAGTGAGCAAAGAAGGGGCCAAGGCTGAGTCTGTCCCTGTTCTGGATGTGGTGTGTTGCTGTGTGCTGGCCCATCCCTGGGGGGACCCTGGTGTCAGCATGGTGTTCTCCATCCTGCACCCCCACCACAGTCCTCTACCAACTCCCCACTGTCCCAGCCACCTGAATTCCCCCTCCAGCAACACTGCCCCATCCCAGCTTTACCACAAAGAAAAGTGAAAACTAGTTAGTGTTTAGGGGGTTGATAAAGTGGATGCCCTCAAACAGGGATGAGATTTACCTGTGGTTTGCTCTGGTCCTTGTAATTAATTCCATCAGCGAGTGAGCTGAGCACAGACTCCTCTTTGCTTTGTTCCAGATGAAGATACCCACACCAGGCTTCTTGGAAAAGCTAAGGACTTCAACATCGGGCTGGAGAAGTACTCTTTGGAATTTGACAAGACTTATCTCACACTGTCAAGCCAAAGAACTGCAGTCATCCACAACAGAACTAACATCACAGCCCGGTTCCAGTGGAAGGCTTTTGCTACTGAGGCAGAGGAGCATCCACAGAAGATCAGGTTGGTCTGAAAGATGCGGTGACATGCACTGCCCAAGGGTAAAACTAACATAGGGGCTCAGGGGCTGCTTGTGCTCTTGAGTGCTTTAGGGTATTAGGAACAAGTAGGTGTTCCTGCAAAGTTTGCAGGGCAGTCACAGCTCGCAGTAAAGAGCCAACAAAGTTGCTGGTTGTTCAGTTGTCAGTTCGGGAGAGGGGCAGTTTGCCCAGAGACAGGGGGACCAACCAGCAGCACGGGGGGATCATGTGGCCATGTCCTCCATTTTGAAGTGAGTGCTGTGGCCTCACCTTGAACAATGTCAGTGACCTCCAGAGCCACCTAATCAGCACATAAAGGGGGACACACAGTAGGCCTGCTGGGAAGCCTGTAACTCCAGAGTATCCCAGCCAATGGAGAAACGGGGAGGGACCTGTGCTCCGGGCAAAGGGGATAAAAGAAGCTGCAGCCTCCACTGAGTTGAGAGACCTCACTGAGGTTTGTTGAGTGAACTCTCCCTTTTATTAGAATAAAGGTTTATTTTTTTAGTTAGCTCCTCTGTCTCCTGGCCATTTATGTGAGTTACTTCTATACAGTCCCTCATTAGCATGAGAGGCGAGAGTGGGAGTAGTTTTGCCATTCCACATGCTCAGGTCTTAGTTCAGTGGTTGTCAGGGGTCCACTCTGGGGGTCCTCCAAGGCGAGTGCCCCCTAAATCAATCGTCCTATTTGTGACTCCGCTTCTTGCACTTGGGCAGGTATTCACTTGTTATATAACACAAGGCAGTGGAAGGTGGGGGTGCAAAGTATCAGGGCCTTCTGGCACATCATGGTGAAATCACTGTCTGTTGATGGAGGTTGAGCAGAGGGTTGCCATCTAAGTGGCTGAGAGCCCTCCTCATGCCCAG